TGGACTATTAATAAGTTGTCCTAAACTTTCATTTGAACAAATGAATTACAGAGTTGAACTGTGTGGATATGTGGAAGTCGAGGAAGGCAACAGTCGTGCGATGGTGATATTCTTGACGAATAAACTTACCAATGATCCACAATCGGCAAGAAGTGATTCCAGTGGACGGTTCTGTAAAATGCTGAAACCTGAACAATACATCGTTTCGGTTAGCTCTTCAAGATTCGATGTGTTTTTGTTGTTCTTGCGATATATTTGATCATATCAAAAAGTGTTCGACACGAACATCATTGAGGTGGTTTGCTGTAGCTGACGGTTTATTCACTGTTTCTTCAATACGAAACACACAACCTACAGTGTTCGTTTACTTTATATCAAATTGTGTTCTTATTAAGCCATCGAACGATGTTGGGATTGTGATGACACCCAAACAACGAGAAGTTGACTTATCGTCTGGTGCAATCCTCAACGTTCTCTTCACGCAATTCAAAGCAAACATTCTTGCAAAAATCATTTGCTTAGGTTGGTTGACGGTGTTCTTCTGCTGAGATTTTCTTTTGCATTATTCATTCAGTCTGAATTTTCCGTCTTCATTCATTACTATGGAATGTCGAAGAGGAAGAAAAGTTGTAGAAAGATGTGATAATTTGAAATTGGAATTGTGGAATGGAGAAGAGATGGTGAAGAGTGTTGAAGGGATCGAAGATTTTCGATTCAATGGCGTGTCGCCTGATTCGTATACGCGTATGTTTATGGCTTCTTTGAACTGTTCCATTTTGCTGCAAGTCACGTTATTTTCGAAAGTCTGGATTTTTTTGTTATCCTCGATGAGACAGGAAAAAGCTTTTTTTCAATCTGATCACTTTTGTTGTCTTTCCATGGTATAATACTGTGTATTTGTTGCAGTAAAAGTGATCGACGGAGGTCGCTTTTGTTGGGAGAAATCTGAAATTAACGTTGTGATTGAACGATCTGACATCAACAACATCGTCTTCAGACAGAACGGCTATCGTGCAGCTGTTCACGTTTCGCATCCTGCCAAAATGGTATACTTTATCATTGCAGTGTTTCATTTTCATTATACTCATTCNTTTCAGCCAAATCTGTTTTTTTTTCGTCACGAACTTATAATTATTTTGAATCTGTTCTAGTTAATCAGTGCTTATTCAACGCAGGCTCTGTACCTGTCTATGTTTTTTATAGCGCAGTGCTGAAGAACTTTATTCGATTGAATTAACCTTTTTCTCTTCTTGTCGCTTTCTGATTTATCTTTTTTTTTAGAAATGGCATCTCGCCGAGAGGAAGCAGTTGGGTGGTGAAGTTGATTTGGGCTCAGGAATGTCGAACTTTTGCGTTCCTCTATCCGGTGTTTACTCGTTGTCATTTGAAGCATGCCATTTATTCGATCATGACACCTACGAAATCACCGTACCACAGGACGCTCCTCTTAGTGCAACGGCCGTCAATTTCTTGGTTACTGCGTCGGTGAAATCGGATAGCAAAACAGCAAATGCGTCTGATTTCAAATTGTTAGTGCGCAGTTCGAATGAGGAACGCACAGTGATGGTAAGCGAAACTTTCTGATGGCTATCAGTAGAACTTTCTGAATCAATTTCACTCAGCAATTTGCTTTCAGTCTTCGGCATCCTCTCGTGGCCGTTTCCAATTCGGATTCTACGTTTCTGCGGCAGACACTGGTTCATCGATTACTATTATACCTCAGTCAGCCACATATCTCTTCACACCGACTTCACATGTTTTTCAATTCAACGGTTCCAGATGAACTTTTTATTTACTTCAAAACGATATTTGNTTCATAAAAATAACTTACGCATTAATTACGTCGTATTAGCGTACGGGATCGATCTTGATTGTTGACGAGTAATTGATAAAGACGATAATATATCTGAAGTATTTACTGCCTCAATAGATGCGTCTCTTGAATAGCGGTGTTTTTACGAATAGCTGTTCTGGCAATAAAAGGATAATGATAACGGTTTTGCGGGCAGTTTTTATGCAACAATAAATCACTGATTTCATTTTGAGGAGAATGTCACAACGATGTAGTGTCATTTGTGGCCGATAAAGGTGTTTTCTTAGAAGGCTTCATTAAACCAGCGCTGGATGGAGTTAACATCCGTTCAACACATAAGACTGATCCGATATTGGTGCTGAATACTGTCACCGATAAGTCCGGAAAGTTTAGGTATTAGTTTGAACTTGTTTCTTGAATTGTTACGTTTCCTGATTATTTAATTGATACGCTTAATTGCCATTATCTTAGCGAATTGGTTCTCTATCTCGATTATTGTTGTTTTCTTTTTATTTTTGGAAGATGATCATTCTTGATAACATTTCAGGATGGGTCCTGTACGAAAAGTTGATGATTTTGAGATAGCAGCTGAGAAAGAGGGTTATAAATTCGAGAGAACTGATAAGTTGGGTGTGTTACATGCGATTCGCCTGTCACAGCTGCGAATATCATTGGTGGATATGAATTCGAATGAATCATTAGCGAATGTGTTGTTGTCGTTGAGTGGTGTCGATAACTATCGATCGAATAGTATGGTCGATGAGACGGGTATGATCAATTTCGTTGGATTGGTAAGTTTGACGCTAATTGCGACAAATATTCTTCAACAATATTCACATGTTTCGATTCAATGGTTTTTGTGCAGAACATTGAATTTTGATGTTTAATTAACAGAATAGTGAATTTCACCTTCGAGGAACTCCAGATTAGATTCATATGAAGAGCGCAGTGGAAGTTTAGTAGATGTTGATTATCGCTAAGTGTATTGCATTTTTAAGCATCTTGATCATGCATAGTTGAGGTATTACCGGAGTGGTTTTCGGAGTAATTGCAATAAATTGACTCANCAAGAGTATCGATTCGAACCACCAACCGTAACGCTGAACGTTAAAGAGGGCGAAGTTGAGTCGGTTACGCTCAAGGGAAGACGATTTGCATATAGGCATGTTGTTCTTTGTTTGTCTTGCTTGAGCTCATGAAATTTCGATCGTTTTCGAATGCAGTGTGCGCTGTTGAGGCCATCGTATTGTATTGCAGTGTCTTCGGTCGAGTCAAACACTTAGCTGGTCAACCAGTTGCGTCAACCGTGGTGGAAGCCGTATCCGAGCAGTGCAGTCAACTACAAGAAGAGGATACCACGTCAGAACAAGGCACCTATCGAGTGCGCGGACTTCATCCGAAATGCGTTTATAGACTCACACTGAAAACAACGGAAGGACAACGAATTCAGTCGTATCCGACACATTACGATATAACGGTCGATGCTTCACACTTCATTTGAATCGTTTCACATTCCAAATGATACATCGCTTGTTTATGCCATCATTTATTTGTTGACGTATTGAATTGAATTACTGATTGATTGATTGTAGGTGAGTGACAAGGATGTTAAAGATATCGATTTTGTGTTAACGCATTTCGATAAGCAACTCGAAGTGATCGGTGATGTGAACTTCGTGAATACCATGCCTCCGTCACACTACCGCATCAGTCTGCTCAAAGGCGGTTCGGTTGTGCAACAAATTGTCGTCAATTCGCCATCAACAGTATTCTTCTTCAACAAACTACCTATCGATCAAACCGTAAACGACTATTGATACTTTCGTCATCTTTGATTCTCTTCTGTCTCCGTTCGTTCATGTTTTCGACACTCAGTTACACTTTAGATGAAGAATGCAATCAAATTTAGAAGGGCGAAAGTTGTTGTGGTAAAGATAATCATTGCGATTTCATCGAATGAAGTTTCGAATATTTTTTTGATTGGAGCATTAATACAGCAAAAATTCGTGATGAGGAATCGTATTCGGCTGAGCTATTGTACGAGCAGTCATCTGGTTTTAAACTTGAGCGAGTTTTAGGAATATTCGGTACGTTTTGATAGTACGCATGCATTCAGTGGGCATAAATATGATTCTTCGGAAGTCACGTTCCGTGCAGATAGCACATTCAAAGCAGTTCGATTAGTTGTTAAACCGCAGGTTCGTTTGTCTGACTTCGCGGGGTTTCCCACATCGTTCCGTTTTCGATGAGAATAATATGTGCCCAACCGAGAATGCTATATTATAAAGTACTGGCGATTCAGTATTATTTTGCAGTTAGTTAATTTGATGCTCTGTTGCGTCACTAATGTTATTAATGGTGAGGTGAAGTGTCTTCATTTCAGCGGAAAACATCCGAACTGGAAATATCGAGCGGCAGCTATTTCGCGTTGCCATTCTTTTTGCTGGTCGCATTTCTATTTTTCAATCATCAGAAGGTATTTATTTCATATTTATTCATTATTGAGTACTTTCGATTTCATCGTTCAGCTGAGCATCAATATAAAACATTTATTGGGTAGATGCCGAAGAAAGTTTCCCGATTGTAGGCTTTATCAGTAGCTGAGTCAGCGTTCGAACGAGCTTGTAATTTCTCGATTCAACGACGGAGTCCAACTCCGAGTGATGAGCATCCAGATGCAATACGACGACGGCAAAAAGCGAAGAAGGCTTGATTCGTCGAACGACTGTGATATCATTCTCGTTGTTTTATTTTTGTTGACGCTTCGTTCTGTGAAGCCAAAAATCACTTCTTTATGGCAATAGTTTCGCACGCATTGAGCCAATCGTTGGTGTTTATAGACTCAAAAAATTAGTTCGCGACTTCTGCAGTTTCCTTCAGAGTGATCCTCTAGAAAAGTTTCTTGAGGAGTTATTGTTTCGAATGGTTTGAAACGTGCACTTGTCTATTGAATCAGATCGAATATGGATAACATTTCCATATTTCTTTAGTAAATAATATAGATTTGGCGGTAAAATCGCTCTGATATTAATTGGCTTTCATTCCGTTTCAGTCGTTGTTGAGTTTGTTAATTTCATTTGTCTGTAACATCGGCTATTGTTACGTTGATTTCCATCAGTGGATGTTTTATCATAGTTCATTTTCAAATGCTCTGTATAGTCTCATTGAATCGTTTAGACTCAATAAATTATTGTTTCACGTGAACATTATATTTCAGCTGCATATACACCGAACTAAATTGTTAATGCAATGATCTTCTAAAAGTGGTTCTTAATCTTTCCCTCCCATCACCTATAAAATTTTAAAATGTCCTCACACCTCTTAAAACAATAGTCNAAAAAATAAAACCTTACCTCGAACACCTTGGAATACTATCTCACAACCTTCGGAGGTGTAAGCACCTCCGGTTCAGAAAACCCGGTCTAGCACAAGTGACAGCATGTCATGTGCTGCTTCAACCAAAAACAGTGCATCATCAGGGTTTGATGGAAGCAGTGCTTTCAATCCAGGATGTATGATGTTGAGTTTGAAAAAATTCGTAGTACAATATGATAAACGTAATCTCAGTCTGTCATGAAGTGTGTGCATTTCAAAAGATCTCTGTCGCTCCCTAGAACAACGGATGATAGCTGCAAACAGAATTTCACTGCAACTGCGCACCACTGAAACATCCCCGTATCAAAGCAGCAATCCTATACTCTACAATCGTGCTGTTAGCATGTGAATGACCCATAGTGAGAGTGTCATATGTTCACGAACTATCGCAGACTCAAGGTTGTCTACATCAATTCGAGCGCCAAACCACATAATTCCCAATGACGACAATAAACTGTACAAAATATGGTATTTAATAATCATACTTGCCTGGCAATTGATTAGAAGTGCTTTTAAATAAATCATATCGCTTTATAGCTGATCATCAACCTTACGATCCATTTTCAATGTTGCCGTTTCAACAGTCCCATGCGATTTTGCATTGAATTATTCTAGTACATTTTATGTCATTCTAGTGTCACTTATCGAAATTGCACTGCACTGATATGCATCTGAAATAGAGGCACACCTTTCATGGATGATTGAAACATATATTAGTCCTTCTCCTCTCTCCCTTCCAAAAAAAACAAAAAAATTAAAACGTCCTTCCTTGTCCCAGATTTCAAGTTCCAGTTCTGTCACATGCAAAAAACGACACATGGTAAATCTGTATGTAAAACATTTACATTTACATACTAAGTAGCGTGCTTCTTTATAAAATACTCTTGTTTTAATACTGTTTTATATTAATCCTCTACACAAGAAACACAACGAGTTCTGAATCGTGATCTGGCATATTCGGATGAAATGTTTTAATTAGATGAAGCATATAACAAGAATGAAGTCGACAGATAATAAATACAGTTATGACGACATAAACAAACGAGAAACGACGATCAGCGATAAAATTTGAACATCTATGTGCAGTATTTCATGCTGGAAATGATAGCAACTATGATACATCTAGAATACAGACGTCATCACAGTGGTATCATCAAACGTATTTCAACACAGCATAACATTCAACAAATATGCTTAGATGCCCAATTGACGATGATTTCTAATAAATGACCATCTGAAGAATTATACAATATCCAATGATCAATTACGACACATTTATAGACAACATCATTCGCAAAAATTTGTGAAGATGACAATTTTGTGATGCAAGAAGTTGGCCGATGAAACACTCATTGGATGGAACTCAGCGTAAGATCAAAATTATTAAATGACTGCAAATATGTGATCATAATGAGATCTCGCTAAGGTAACTACACACAGCAATGCTACGAAATGTGTAAGGGGATCGAACATTTATGATAGAATAAGCATCACTTTCGTGGAACAAGGGTTGCCGTTCGACACACTATAGCATAGAAAGCGAACGTACGGAGAAAGCACCTGGAGTGGAAATTTATAAACAGTATAGTATTCAGTACAACGAATGAGTACCCCACAAATGACCTGATCACACAAGTGGAAATCCAAAATGAGCATATGAAGTTGAACATCAAACTAGTCTGTAGCTAAGCCTGAAAATAACCAAAATGATAACTGTAACGATATAAGAACTTGATAAAAGAATATTACCATCTATCTAACCAATTCAGACATTCAAATGATCCATGAACGAACCAAGGTTTTTCATGAGTTGTTGCAACCAATGTTTCGTTGATTTGTCATCCTCTAACACACGACTGAACGTCTCATCTTTGAGTTGATCTGGCAAACACTGCCGTAACGCTTGAAGAGCCCTGCAGATAATAGGCGATTGGCTGCTTACTGTCAATAAAGCATTAGAATAACATACAACAACCGTTTACTCGACATCCAACATAGATTTTACACTTTTCATATTTACAATACTATAAACAATTTTCTGATAAACATGCCTTGGGTTATCTGACAGGCGGCTGTAGCAACGTACAACGTGTTTCAGAAGACGTTGCGATGGCTCCTTGGCCAATTGCAAAACCATTTTACCCTAAAAATTACCAACCAAGACAGTTGAAAATGTACACGAGAGTATGGCGGGCAACAAAACAACGATAAATA